TACAGTGGTGCCTCGCAAGACGGGCACTCCATTTAACGACGAATCCGCATTACAACGATCAAAACAGCTGATCGTCGGAGTTTCAAAATGGCCACCGGTGCTCAAAATGGCTCCTCGTTGTGTTTAGGAGCCATTTTTCCCTGCACAGGCACCCAAAAATGGCCGCCGCTATGGAGGATCTTCGCTGGACTGTGAGTTTTCAGCCCATTGGAACACATTGAGGGGTTTTCAATGCCTTTCAATGGGTTTTTTAGTTTCGTTTGACGTTTTTGCTCTACAGCGGTTTCGCTGGAACAAATTAACATCATCAAGAGAGGCACCACTCTACTGACTTATGAAACATGAACCTCTGTGACTGAATTGTTTGTTTGATTTCTCACACCCTCAAATTGATGTTTCATTTCAAGTAACAGTGGCAAAATACACGTTGAAATTACTTTAATTTTTGGTACTATTGAATGAAAAATACTAATTAGCTGAAGTTCAGGCTTTCTTGTTCTAGGAGTGGACATTAAAAGTATTTCTTTGTTGACACACGACACATTCACCTGACTTTTAAATTCAAAGCTAATTTCAGACTTTTGAATTCAACTTGTGCTCTCTACAAAACAAAACAGAATTTTATTATAGTATCAGTGTTTTAAAATGCATACATTTCCTTCTCTTCTGCAGGCAGGGGGCGCTCTATTCAAACTGATATATATAAATAATTTATGCACAAGCACTCTTGTCACAGGTAGTCTACTGATGCTGGGCTCAGTGAAACTTTTACTATATTCTAAATACGAAAGTCGTCATTCTGAAGAAAATCCATAATCCACAAGGGAGGAACAGCCTTGTTTAGGGTCAATTTATTTATTATTTCGGTAGATTCATAAAACGTACAAGTTTGGCATTGAGGTTAATTGCAGGTCTCTGAGACTTAAAATACCGAGCCAGATTTTTGCCCTCTGTAATTTTTTTGCCCATCACCCCGATGAATAGTTCTGGAGGACGGGAATACTTGTAGTATGGATTCATAGTTGATTGCAATAAAGTTACTGCACAGATGATTATTTCAAGATTTTAAATAAATTAATTAATGTTAGTATTTAGATTGCTAATACCCAGCCTCAGAGTATGTAAAGACAGTGTAGTGGAATGGGGACTGTAGTTAGTGCATCTTGAAAGAGGGAAAATGTACTGTGATGTGCTAGTTGCCCTATGTAAATGCATATAATAATCTGAGAACTGCAGAATTGGAAAGAACCCTGTGGATCGTTGCATCCAGCCCCAGTCAAGGAGGCACAGTGGTGGATTCGAACTCCCAACCTCTCACTCCTCAGCTGGAACCCTAAACCTCTGAGCTATCCAGCACTTCCATGGGTGCCACCCAAAGGCTCAGCCTCATTGATTTCAGCAAACTTGCAGATGTCCAGGTAGTGCCAGTTAAATATACATGTATTGCTTGTTTGTTCTTGAATGGATATGCTTTTTTTTGTTTTGTTTTGTAGAAAGAAAGAGATTTTACAAGAATGTTACCATCTCCCAAGGTGAAGGTTGGTAAATTATATTTATGCATAAACTCTAAATGCTTGAGACTGATTTATCTAGAATCCTTTTTCATCCGATTGCAGGATAAATTAAGAAAGTGGGGGTTTCTCCAAAGTGGGCTTGCTGGTAGAAACCGAGCCTAAATCCGTATTTCCCGCATCAAAAGTCGCTTCCCTTCGGCGTCATACTGGCTCCTGCTCAGTGCGAGAGATGGGAGCCAAGTTGGAAAAGGGGAAATTTCAGTGCACCTCAGCCAAGCTTTTACGCCCATGTCACATTTCCTATGGGAGAAAGTTCTATACTTCTGACAAGCCTTTGTCTGTTTTCCTGTCACGGTATGAATTGAAAGTGAGGGGGCTGTTGATAAAAGATAGCTTTTTCGATGGTTGTTGTGGTTTCAAAATGGTCCCCAGGTAATTAAAATGACTCCCCGCTGTGTTTAGGGACCGATTCCTCGCTATACAGGCACCAAAAATGGCCACCGTATGGAGTTTTTAGCCCATTAGAACGCATTGAACGGTTTTCAGTGCGTTTCAATGGGCTTTTAATTTTCGCTTTACAACGTTTTCGCTTAACAGCGACTTTCCTGGAATGGATTATCGCCGTTAAGCGACGCACCACTGTAGTCTCTTTGTTTTGGAACTACATGTAACTGTATGAATATTTGCTCTTATGTTTGAGGAAGTGGATTTGTCCACAAAAGCTCACATTAAAATATAGCAGTTAGTCTGTAAGACAACATTTTTGTCTTCTTTATTCTTTATTTTTCTTTTGTTTTGCCTGACACAGCAAGACATCTTATTACACAGAAGTGAGATGGTCCCTCATGGGGAAATGTGGTTGCACCTGTAGAAAAGCAGCAAAAGATATTTAAAGCAAGAATGAGATGAGGAAAAGTTTAGAAAGAGGAGTTTCTAATTGTGCTCTAGTCTCTGTCCCTAAAAATGCCAGCCTCTACCTGAGAAAATAATTTGGTAAGGGGAGGGGGAGGGCATATCCCTTGAATCCGGGAGGGTGGGTTGGGCAGGGGAAAGGTTGCAAGGTTTGGCCAGGCTGGTTTCCTCATATTAGACAAAGCAGGATGCAGTCACAATAAGACATTAGTGACCAGGTCTGTGCAGGCTGTAAAATGAGGTGGTAGAGTTCCCAAGTGGCAAACGGAACAACCTAAGACTACAGGTGGGAATAATAGTTTTGGAATCTTCTTCGCACATGATGAAAAACGGGGGACGGGGGGGGATGCTGATGATGGAAAAGCAAGGCACCAGCAACGTGACCCATTATGCTCTCTGGGCTGCAAGTGTTGCTTTTTTGTTTTGTCTTGACTTCCACGGAGGTGTTTCTCTGCATAGAATCGTGAAGTTGAAAGTGCCCTATACGGCCATTGAGTCAAATTCCCCTGCTCAGTGCAGGAATACAAATAGATAGGGAAGCGTTACAGCAGTGGTTCGCCACCTTGTGTCCCCAGAGGTTATTGGACTACAATTCTCAGAAGTCCTGGCCAGCACAGGCAGTGGCGAAGGTTTCTGGGAGTTGTAGTCCAAGAACATCTGGGGACCCAAAGTCGGGAATCATTGCGCTAACATGCGTGATGCCCTGTTGAGGTGGAAGACCCTCCTGGTACCAGTGAGGTTGGGAATTTGCTGGTGTAGTTTTCTTTGCAGTTGTACAGACACTGAGCAGAGCTCACTTCGGATTGCCGTGGTGGGCTGTTAGAGAGGATCATCTGTCAGGCATACTTGAGCTGCAGGTTCTTGTGTTGTGGGGGCAAGGCCAGATGACCTTCAGGGTCCCTTCCAGGCATGCCGTTCTATGTTTCTTTGAATTGCTTTGCTGTCTTTCAGACCACCTTGTGCAACACAGCTTTGGACAACCCGTCCCAGCGAAGTAAAGATCAGCTCATCCAATCGGCTGTGAAATTCTTAGAGACAGATACCATCTGGTAAGATGGTTTGGACAGTGTCACTGAAGCGACCAACATGACTTTGACCCAACTCTGGGAGGCAGTGGAAGACAGGAGGGCCTGGCGTGCTCTGGTCCATGGGATCGCGAAGAGTTGGACACGACTTAACGACTAAACAAGAGGGTTTATGGTTTTCCGAAGGTCATTCTGGTTAGAGATGTAGAGGCAGGCCTTAAATGTCCGAAGACTAGGAGATGAGCAAACCTGTTTTTCTGCAGTTGCAGAACAGCTTGGCGATCTATCTGTGTGCCAAAAATGTTTACTTCTTTGGTTGGGAATGAAGGAACTGCAGGGTGAAAAACACAGCCCTGTGACTCATGCTAGCTTTTGCCTTCTTTCTGGGAAATCCTAGCTACCGGGTGGAGGAGCCCCCTGCCTTGGAGGAGCTGCAGAGGAATGAATGGGATCCAGTAATCAAATGGGCTGAGGACAGGTGAGTGCAAGCACAGAATCAATTCCAGGGAAATGCTACGGGGGGTGGGGTGGGGTGTGTGTGAGTTTGGCGATGTGTGGTTTGCATGATTAAATTGCAAACCCACCCAGAAAGTGCTTTAAGCACTACAGAGGGGTATCTTTGCTTTACTGGTGGGATGCACGTGCAGATCTTTGGCTCTGGAAAACACTTGTGGCTCAGGACACGGGTATGAAATCCTGCCTTGCTGAGAGAAAGCCATTGGAACAGTGCTTGCCTTCAAAGTATTTTTAACCCTCCGCATTGAGCTTCTCACCCTGGTGAGAAGAAATGATGGGAATCAGGCAAGTTGGCAGACTTTCCTCCCCAGTAGTCAGCTGCTTCTTTCAAAGATCCATGAAGGTCTTGTGTTTCTCAAAACAGACACACACAGAGAGACACACACACAGACACACACACCCTAAACACATGTGTGTGCCCTTAATTCAAACTGGAGGCCTACTTTGCTCTTGAAAGTTCAGAATGTTTTATTTTTTTTTAAGGGTACGAGCAAAAGTTCTCTGAGTGGCTTCCCTGTGTTTTCTGGCTAGGACTCTTGATCAGGAGGAGCAGAAGCCCAGGACGGTCACTCGTCCAGAGACATGACAGACAGGCGTCTTGGAGGGCAGCTGGTTCTGTTGTTACTGCAGGGCAGAGAGAACAGTGTAAAGCTCTGTGATCATATCAGAACAGAGAGGAAAGCTGAAAGGTAGAAGGCAAGCACCCGCCATCTGAAACAGTCCTATAGAGACATAAGAAATCAAGAGCCTTTTCCTCTCTCAAAGGCATCGCACACATAAGCTTTGCTTTGTTCCCAGGTACGAGGTTGTGATTGGTTCCTCAACCAGCATCATGGGCCCCAACATCCCACAGCGCACCAAGGATGTCTTCGTTAGCCACCTAGCATCCTATAACAGCTGGGCCCTCCAAGGTAAGGTGAAGGGCGTGTCTGCAGCGAACCCAGAGATCCATGTGTAAGAAACTTTCATAGAATTGTGAAGTTGGAAGGGGTCTCTAAGGTCATTGAGTCTGACCCCCCTGCTCAAGGCAGGAATCCAAATCAAAGCAGATCTGACAGGTGGTGGTCTTAAGTCTCTCTTGAATGTCTCCAGGGTTGGAGCACTCACCAACGTTGATAAACTTCGGCTTCCATGAAAAGGTCTAATTCCTGCTAAAGCTATTTAAGCCCGTGGCCATCATCCCATCCTGAGAGTTTCATGAACTGATGATGCGTTGTGTCAAAATTCATGCCTTTCCCCCCTTCGTCTTGAATCTGCTGCATTTAACGTCACTCAATTCCCGGCATTGTAGGTCAATGAGAAAATGTTTCTTGTTTCCTTTCGCCGTTCTGTGCAAATTTTACGGCTATCTACTTTGCCTCTCCTATTCTGGCTCATTTTTAAACAGTTCTGTGGTAAAGAAAAAGAAAAGCCCTCCACCTCTTAAACCAATCTTTTAAGCTACGAAAGCCCTGCTTTCACATCCTGTAAGAAAAAACAGCCTGGGAAAACCAGGATAGACCCATTGAGACACTTTATCAGGTGTTGATTGAAAAAAAAATCCCCTCCCTGATCTGCCATGGAAGCCCAGAAAGCCACCCTTTCTTGAGTGCCTCTGATGCTGGACAGGGTAGTACTACATAAGTAACATTGCCTTTTTCTTTTTCTTCCCCCTCTTTGGTGTCGAACGTACTTGCTCTTTGGCCAGGCATAGAGTACATGGTAACACAGCTGAAATCATTGATTCTCTCACTGGGCCTGCTTGACAAGCATCTCACTGTGGAGGAGGCTGTCTTGCTCTCCCGCCTGGAGGAAGAATACCAGGTAAGCTTTGGCATGGCGCCGATCGAGACCTTTGGGGGAAGTTCCTGGATGAGCCCACGTGCCAGTTAAACTCTGTTGTCAGACTCTCTCTGAGGGTTCGATCAGGGGATTGCCTACTGGTATTGGGGCCTTTTCAGGGGTATCCCTAAGATCCTGGATTTCCTCTCCTTGATAATCCATCAAACCTCTCTTAGTATCAGATAGTTCTGTTTTTACTATCCAATAGCTTCTTGTACCCTGTTTTAGACAGGAATGGAGCAGATGCCTGAATAAATGGTTAATAGTTCCTCCCACTGCATCTTGTTTACTTATTATGGTGAGAAGGAGGGGGGCATTCCACAAGGGGACCTCCTGCCCCATGCAGAAGGCACATTCACTTAGATCCTCAAAGGAAACCATTCTCTATTCTTCTCTCCCCCCCCCTGCATTTTGGACCCTGTGGGTCACTTCTGGCCTTTAAAAAACCCTAACAAACAGGAGCAAGTGCAGAGGTCCAGAGATGATGGTGGAAGATGAGATGGAGAGGTAACCCCCACATTAGACTGTACTTAGCTGTCCATCCCTGTGTTAGATGGACCACAGAATGACTTTGCACAGATCCAGACACACACACACACACACACACCGCAAGGCCCTGTCCTGCATTTCTGAAGCAGCTGAATATGCACTAGGAGCCCTTCCCTTCCTGGTTAAAATAGTGGAGCCCAGGTCAAGGGCTTCCTGAACTGCCAACTCTTCCTTAAGCGGGAGTGGGCAGGAAGAGGGGAGGACATGACCCCCCGTTGTGGGGGGCTTCTCCTCCTAGGAAGGGGGGCAAGGGCTGGGATCTTCGGAGGAAGAGGAGTTTCCAGAGACTTGTTTCCTCTCCGCCTCTAGATCCAGCACTGGGGCCATGTGGAATGGGCCCATGACTACGACATGTACGAGATGCGCGCGCGCACCGCGGCGGCCACCCTCTTTGTTGACCTTTGCTCCGGGAGTGCCACCGTCAAGCACAAGCTGCTCCAGGACTGAGGTTCTCGGATGGAAGAGGGCCCAGAGAGATCCGAAGGTGGCTCGGGAGGGCCCGGCTCTTTGGACTGCTGGGATCGGAGGCCCTGCCCTGGCCCTGCCGAAGTCGACTTGGTGCTGATGGCCTGTCGCCTCCCCTCTGGGTTTGATGGGGTGTGTGACGGGGGAGCGGGGCGGAGAGGATCAGCGTGTGGACATCTTGGCGTCTCCTTCCTTCCCTTTGCTGCCTCTGACTGGCTTTTTCAAAGCGGTGCATTTTAGCTCTCCTTCACTCCCTGGACTGCTCCTTTGACCTTATTAGATGTAGCTCCTTAAGCACTGTCTTCCTGAATAAAGCTGCTGGGGGGGGGGAATGAAATTATCAACTAGTGCTGTTTATTTGTCTTGCCTTTTGGTGAGGCATCCACTCACCTTCGTCTCCTAAATCCAGCAGAGGTAAATATTGTCACAGTCTGTGTTTGAGTGTACATTCCCCCCCCCTTGAGTTGCATATCTGAACTCGGACTGCTCCGTTCTCTGTAAACATATTGAGGACACGGATGGGGTAGACCTGGAAAAATGGCGGTTGGTAATGATTTCAGATAGTTTGTGGTCGGGAACACTTTAAAGGCTGCTTCTGTGACTGACAAGCAGAGTCTTTTGAGAATCCTGATTTCTCAGAAGAGAACAGCCGTTCTCTTACAGCTGTTCCCATGTTTTACCTCTGCCTGCTTCCTTGCTCTGTGGAGAGCCTTCTTTTGATCTGTCCTGACTCTTCCACCCTGCATACAGATGGGGAAGCAGGGGAGACCTGGATCTTTCACCCTGAAAGCCATGCAGAGATGTCTTCTCCTTGGGCAGTTCAGCAGCCTAGGTGCCCCTTAGCTACCACCGCCTCCCGAGCCTGGCCGGCCAACCTACTGGCTGGACTCCAGCATCAGCTCTGGCCCAGACCCATTTCCCAGCAACCCTCTCTCCCATCATCCACATCAGGGAGCACGATTGCAAGTAGAACCATTGCAGCCTCTGTGTCTCACAACGGTTGTGGAAATGGGCTATCCAAAAAACTAACTATTTGTTAGTGGAATGGCTAATATTTATTTTATATTTATTTGTATTTATTTATTGTATTTATACCCCACCTATCTAGTCATTTCGACCACTCTAGGCGGCTTACAACATAAGGATAACAAGTTCTAAAAAATTTTATAACAATTAATTAATTAAATGATTCTATAAGATGGGAAAAATAAGAATAAATCAAATAAAGAGGGGGGGAAAAAGGAAAGAGGACAGGAATTAACTGGAAGGGAAGGCCTGCCTATA